AGTGTTAAGGGACACTGGACTAAGAGCCACACCTCACCATTTCAGCAGGTGCCTCTCAGCTCTGCAAGTGTAAAATAGAGAAATAGCAAGAAATCTCTCAAGGGACTCAGGTGAGCACAGGAAGAAATCAGACACACTCTGCAGTGTCAGCTTGTAAATTTTAAAGCGAGTTAGATGTGAATGCTTTTGAGACAGCATATTTCTCCTGGTCAGGAGGAAGGGAATAAGAACACATCCTTTTTTTTTTTTTTTTGGTTTTTCAAGACAGGGTTTCTCTGTGTAGCTTTGGAGCCTGTCCTGGCACTCGCTCTGGAGACCAGGCTGGCCTCAAACTCAAGAACACATCCTTAAAACTATTTTTATTTTATTTTGTAAGTGTTTTTGCTTTCATATATATGTGCTTATATAAAGATATATGCACATGGTACACATATATACAGATATATGTGTATGCATATATGTACCATGTGCATGTCTGGTACTCCAGGAGACCAGGTGTCAGATCCTCTGAAAGTAGACTTAGGGACAGTTGTGAGCTGCCGTGTGGGTGCTAGAAACTGAACCCTGGCCCTTTGCAAAAGCAGCCAATGTTCTTAGCACCTGAGCCACCTTTCATCCTCAGTTCCATGCACTCCTAGGACAGAGTACTTAAAGCCACTAAAATTGACAAAATAAAAAGGAATGCTAAAAAACACTGGATCTTTTTTTCCTGCATTTTCCAGAGAGTATTTCTCTGTATAGCCCTGGCTGTCCTGGAACTCACCACACAGACCTGGCTGGCCTTGAACTCACAGAGATCCACCTGTCTCTGACTCCCCCCCACCCCCCAGTGCTGGGGTTAAAGTAGTGTGTCACCACTGCCTGGCAAAACACTGGGTTGTTTTGTTTTTTCCCCTGAGACAGGGTTTCTCTATATTGTTTTGAAGCCTGTCCTGGAACTAGCTCTGGAGACCAGGATGGCCTTGAGAACACTGTCTCTTAACAGCAGACAATAAAGTAGGCTATACAGTATCATTTGCATTAAAAAAATGAAAATCAGAAAGTGTCAACAGCACAGTTAACACCAAATGAAAATGATTATTTATGGGGTGATACAATTTGGAGTGGTTTTAGGTTCTCCTTATTTCCCCTTTTCACTTGACATGAATGTTAATATCCCACTCAAAACAGGGCATCGTAGTTATAAGGAGAGATTGGGACCTAGATGAGGTATCTTTTACACCGAATGACTGTGGGCCTAACAAAGTGGTAGGCACTATTCTGTGACTTCCTGCTTTGGTAAATGCACGGCAAGAAGACTCAACTGCCAGGCTTCCCGACTGCACCAGGAATCTTCTTGTTAGGGTGTCTAACCACTGTCTTAGTCCGAGCTAAGAACTGGCAGGTATCCAGCAGCAGCAGGAGCCCCAAACAGACAATGGCTGGGATGGAGGTCCTCAGTGACTCTTTCAGAACCACCAACGTAAAGATGGCACCTAGAACAGAAATGATAAACATCTAGAAGATCCAAGAACTCGGATTCCAGCCCAGGAGGACCCATTTCAGCTCAGGCCCTCCCATTAAACACTCCTCCACTCCTCTTCCAGGAAGCAGGAACAAGAATTAGAAGCCTTGAGAACTAATGCAAGCCCCGGAGCAGAAGAGAGTCAAGGTGAGAAGATAGGGATATGGGAACTAGCTTTCCCCCAACTCTTTCTTAATAATTCTACTGGAGGATTCAAAATGGGGGTCAGGAGCTTGAGTGTGGTAATGACCTGAAATCGTGGAAGGCTTTAGAGATGGAAAGAATGTTTTAGTGACTAATGTGACAGTGTCTAGTCTTGGAAGCAGCAGCTGTCCACCCTGTACACTAGCACTTCTTCCGTGCGGAGCTTCAGAGAGAGTGCAGTCTAAGAAATTCTCTGCCTCTTTGGTCAGGGAACCCTCGCTTTCCTGCTGGTTGCACCCAAATCCACAAGCTCAGGTTCTCAACCTGTGGGTCATGACTCCATTTTGGGGTTGAATATCACTTTCACAAGAGTCTCCTAAGACCACCGGAAAACAGATATTTACATTACAATTCATAACAGTAGAAAAATTACAGCTATGAAGTAGCAATGAAAATAATTTTATGGCTGGGAATCACCACATGAGGAACTGTATTACAGGGTCATAGCATTAGGAAGGTTGAGAACCACTGTGGTAGATACATATACATTAAGTGGCAGCTGCTGCCACACTCCCTCCAGGAGTGAGCATGGAGAAGGCGTAGGAAGGTTACACTACGTGTTCACGCTGGGACACTATACAAATCACAGAAATGATGGGAAAAGCGTGTTACAGTATTACAATGGCCAGGATGTGGTTGGTCTGCAGCATTTCAATATCAAGGAAGCTATGGCTGATCCGGAAATGTTCCTGGTCCCAGAGAAGAGACAGGGCAGCAGTAAGGAAAAACAGCTAAATCTCACTATTGCCCCCAGAAGACCCCGGGTGCCCCCTTACCCATCATGAGCAGGATCAATAGCAGGGTACTGATCTGTTGTAGCACAGGCGGACCCACGACCAGCAGCAAACCCGTCAGCAGTTCCAGCCAGCCCACAGCTGTTTGGTAGTTTATAGGATCTGGCTGGTAGCCGAACAACTTCAATGGAAACACCTCAGAGAACTGCTCGAACAAGGCTCTCTATAAGTGGCAGGGAATGCCTGTCAGCTGTCTTCTTCTGGAAGTACCACAGGGATGGCCTCTGCCTGTCATCAGCTCCCCTAACAAAGCCACTACAAGCAGAGGCCAGATCCAGGTTAAGAGCCTGGCGAGGAGGGGGCCACCCGATGGGACTGACCTTTGGGATCAGGAACAGACACTCTTCCACAAGTAAAAAGGGTCACAGGCAGAGATAGCTTTCCCTCCTCACCAGACCTCTCCATAGAGGATAACCCAGCCTCAAATCCCAGGAAAGGGTACAGGACTTGGGCCTTCCCACCTAGAGCCATGGCCTGGAAAGGGCAACAGAGTCTTTGTGCCACACCTAGTTTCTCTTCATGCTGAACATTTGGAGGTGGGATGGAAAAGGTGCCTTAAAGATTGGTTTCCATTTTCTATCTCCTATTCGGGTTCTGATCCCACTATGGCAGACACAACAGATAAGGGGCTCTGTAATCCATTTTACCCAGACCTTTCCCGGGGCCAACTCTATCCCCCCCCCCCCCCCTTCTTCCCATGCCCCAACAGCAGCCCTGCCTCTCCTCCTCTACCCTCCAGTGTGTCTAATCTTCTGACAGCATGACACAATGTCGCCATCTACAAAGTTGCTTCAGAACCCCACAACTTAGTTTTTTTAATAAATCACGTGTTTTAAATTTACAATTTTGTGTTGGGCTACATTTGACAGCTATTTTGAAGTATATGTGGCCCAAGGGTCACAGGTGGGACACGCTTACAGAGTTTAAGCTGTCTACCTCTTACTGTATCCTGAAAACCCACCACCTTAGTTTCAGGGTAGGCGGGAGGGGGGGGGGAAGTATGCAAGCTTGGGAGGATGTAATGGGGATTTCCCACAGAGCCAGGAAGTATTGGTGGACTTCCCCAGGATAAGGAACTACAGTCGGGGTGACTTCCAGGCTTCCATCCCAGACTTCCTGGGATGCTGTGGAGTCTAGGTTCAGTTAGTCTACATTGGGCCTTGCTTGACTAGCTGTGTCATCCTTTGGCAAATTACATTTTACCTTCAGGGCTAGTTTCTAAGCTTATAAAAGATTTCTCAAGTGGTGAAAGCAGTTAATCCCTTGAAGAGGCAGGTGGACCTCTGCAAGTTCGAGGTCAGCCTAGTCCATATAGTGAGTTCCGGGCTAGCCAGAGATACACCGTAAGGAAACCATTTCAAAACAAGGAAGGAGGGAGGGAGGGAGGGAGGGAGGGA